AGATAGAAGAGTTTGTTGAATCTGACGTGACATGTTCGTACGAACCCTTTGTACGAACAAAAGTAAGAGAAATTTAGGAGAAGAATACGAACATGTTCTTGCATGAGGCCCATTCTCCGTACGACCAGCAGGATCAAGCAGGTAGAGATGTTGGATGTGTTAAAGAGTGTTCAAAAACTGAATGCCCATATAATGTACAGGAAACCTTTTAAGCTCAGATGGATGTTTATTTTTCAGATGTAAAACTCCATCATATGCTCAGAGCCTATGTTTGTGGCCCCTGAGACTAATCAGAACCAAATGGRTTCTCCCTTCTGCTGCTGGTCACGCCTAAACCTACGTGTCCTTACCAAACCAAAATATTTATAGAACACCCTGGTCACACCCCTAGGGGCAGTTCCTCTTATGTCAGCACTGCATATACCGTTAATCTTAAATGTTATATGTTTACATTAAAAGAAGACATATAGATACATGTTAATTCTATCACTTTTTAAAGTAAATGACTGCAGTCAATCACAAATTATAAAATATAAGACTGTATATACAATTCGGTTAATCAGACACTAAATTTCCTTTGGATGGATGGATGGATGGATGGATGGATGGATGGATGGATGGATGGATGGATGGACAACAGCAGGTTAGACCTGGAAGAGTCTCAACTTCTTTTCCTACCTTGTAGCTGGGTCTTGTTCTTATGTCACTGATGTTTTTTTTTTTCATTAATAACCTTTACTGTCCCTCAGTGGGGCAATTACTTCTCTATATTTTTCCCATCTAACATGTGAGCTTACTTGTGGGGCAGGGYGCTGCCATTTAAGGTGCCCAGGGATCAGTTGGGAGGTGAAGGTTCTGGCTGAAGGGCCCAGAGTGGAGTAATTGAGGGTTTTCCACCAACATTTCTGGTTGTTGTCAGTTCAGGGACAGAACCGACAACAGAAATTCTTCTTTGACAACGACTCCATCAACAGGCCTTCCCACACAAATGTCAAGCATCAATAAATATAAATAAAAGCAAATTAAAAAAATAGAAGTCACATAAAGAAAAAGGAATGTACGGGGTGGGGTTATTTTTCAATTTTTATTTAGTTTCATGTTATGCTTTGATGTCATTCCCTCCTCAAGAAGAGTGTTGCTTTGACTCATTCATGCAGAATTGAGAAATCCTTGAATCTCCTGTGGTAGCCATGTGGCACTGTCTAAACAAGTGATGGTACAAAGCTCCACCTATTTGTACAAAGGTCCTCCCTGGAGCTCAGTCTGCAGCCCCACAGATCACCCGTCCCCCAAAGCATTGTTTGAAAATGTGCTGAAGTGGGAGTTTCTGAAACAATAGGAGGTCCTTAAAGAGACCGAGGCCAATTTCAAGGCGTTTAGATAGAAATGGGGGAGCGGTTGTAGTGTCCAAGAGTGGGGGGCCTCTTCTCAGGAATGCACAGATGTGATGTCCCTTGGTTTTTCCAGCTTCAGAGCTCGGTACATATTACCATATTAGGAAGAAGGTATACCGTGACAAAATTTATGGTACATCTGTGAAGCCTATAAAGGGCCTTGTACGTCCCCATCCTTTGCCTTTGTTCTTCATCTTCCTTACTTGATGAATCATTTGGTTTGAAGGCCACAATTTGGTTTTTGGCTGTAATCTCCTGGACTGCAAAATAAAGATTCTTGCTGTTCAACCAGCCTGTTTCAGAGTTCTCTTTTCATTGAGCAACAGCAGTTCCACTTGAACCAGAAGACGTGGTTATTTTCACCTCACGGTCTTTTTCTGTCGCTGGCCCAGCAGCCTTGAATGGTCTTCCATGTGAGTTGTGGGGCTGTAGCGATACACTAATCTCACGATATGATACGATATTCGATATTCTGCTCACGATACGACATATATCACAATATTCAGCGAACAATACGATTCGATGCAATTTGATTTTTCTGAACGATTTTAGAGGGGCAGAGTGATTTTGATGACATTTTGTGACTGTTCCACAGTCTTGAATTGAATTAACTGAACTGAAAACTGATTAAAAGCACCAACTACACAAGGCCTGGCTCTGATTCGACAGAGACCTAGTCTACAGCTGGACAAAATTAATCAAAGATGCGGTGAGAAAATTAGTTTTCTTTAGATGAAACAGTGCAAACTGTAGCTTACAAGCCTAAATAATTTTTGGTTCCATCCAGGTAACTGGCCAATAAAGAGCAAATTTTCACAAATCTTCAGGATTTGTGTTTATGATGAGAGTTATTAACATGATTAAAGATTTGGAGGTAAATTATTTTGTTCCCTTGTTACAGAGAGGGAACAGATTATTTAAAACAAATGAAATATCTGGTTCTTGTATCAGCAATAAAAAAAATTATAAATACACACAATGTGTTGGAAGACAGTGTTTGGTGGCTGACTGATAAATAGTGAGGCTAAAGAGAACATGAGAAAAGTTGGAAAAGGACTGATAAGGACTCATTCTGTGATTAAAAAAAGGCCAGGTTTTTATTTATTTATGCATTTGAGGTTTTTTTTTAAGAGCAGCTGATG